GTGGGGGGGGGTCCGGGGGCAGCCCTGGGTGGTCCTGCAGGAGCCAGGGCTCGTCCTGCAGGGCTGATCCACACGGGAGGCTGGCAGCAGGAGGCCTCTGCACGGAAGAGGCACTGGCCCCCAGCCTGGGCACGGTGCCACCCAAGGGACCCGGTTGCAGGCCCCTGTTTGCTGGGTCCCATCTCAGCGCCGGGGTCACCTTGGCCGGCCGGGTGGGGGACCCAGGAGCCCGGTGCGGCTCCGCCAGCGCAGCCGGGCGTCGGGCGGCCGGGATGGGAAATGCGCGAGGGGCCCTAAGGCCCCATTGTCCCGGCCCGGCCCGGCCCGGCGCTGTCCGCGGTGCTGAACGGCCGCCGCCGACCCCAGCCGGGCCGGGCCGGGCCGGGCCGGGCAGGGGGGCACGCGAGCGTGCACACCCACACGCATGCACGACATGCACACACAGACAGGGGCATGCACACACACACACGCAACATATGCACAGGTGCGGCACGGTCACACGCACAACAACACGCACGCACAGACAGGGGCACGCACACACACGGGACACGGGGACACACACAACAACACACAGACGGGACATTCACACGCGTACACACACACAACAGCATGCACATGAAAACGGGCATGGACACACACACACATAACAACATGTACGTACAGATGGGGCACACACACACACACACACACACACACACACACACAACAGGTGCACACAGACAGCGGCATGAACATAACCACACATGGATGCATGCTCACACAACACGCACACATATACACAGGTGGGGGCACAGATGCACAAACACATATGCACATACACACATAAAGGCATGGACACATGCACACAGGCACACGCACATGCATGTATGCACATGCAGCAGACACATTTGCATGCACACATGACATGCACACACATACAGACAGGGGTATGGAAACACACTTACATGTGTATGAAATGCACAGACAGGGTCATAGGCATGCACACACATGCATGCACACACACAGATGGAGGCATGGACACACACACATGCACACATAACATGCTCACACACACACATACACATATCAATGCACACTCACAGACAGGGGCATGACATCACATACAGATGGGGGCATGGATGCACACATGCACACACACACATGACATGCACATGCACAAACAGCAGTATGGACACACACACACATGCCACATGCAATGGCCCCATCTTACCTAGGGACACTCCATGGGGCACCAGGCCAGATGCTCCAGCGTGGTCTAGAGAGCTGGGGTTGGCACCATGTCTGTCCCAAGAATCAGATCTCATATCCAAGGCAGGTCGGGCCAGAACCGGTGAACTCTGTCTGTAAACATACACACATGGCTTCACCTTGGAGCGTAGCCATGGACAAAGTGTGCCGGCCCCTTGGGAGCTGGCTGGTGAACGACGTGGGCTCTGGAGGTGGGGGGAGAAGGGGCTCAGGGCTTCCCCAGTGGCTAAAAGAAATGCAGAGTGGAGGTTGGAAACCCAAGCAGACCCACCCAGCAGCCTGGAGTCTGCAGCTGGCATGAGCAGGGCTTTGTGGGGATCCAAATGACACGATCTCAGGCCATGGGCGGATCTAGGGCTGTGAAAAGTGGGGTGCAGATGGCCAGTGCAGAGCACAACACATAGTCCTCTCTGGTTAGAGAAACTAGGAGCTTTACTATAACACTATGGACCTAGGGCGGTAGTATTCAATTTAGGATTGAAGCAAAAACAAATCTGTTGATGCAATATGCATCCACTAGCTGGGTTATACATTACATATAAAAAAACCACAAACAAATAATCAAAATGCATCATTTTCTTAGCCACCCATCACAAAATGAAATGGACATCTTTCTTTCAGATTCATGGCACAAAATCCTGCCTTCTTGAGCATCTGGGCAGTGCATCCAGTGCTTTGCTGAAGGTTATTTTCACCTCCAAGTTCATGTTCACCCGAGGGAAGGTTTCCACTCCAAATTAGTTATTAGCTAGGGTTCAAAACAGTGTGCAGGACTGCAAAATAGGAACTAGCAGGAGTGGCAAAGAGATGGGAGAAGAGCAAAGGAAAGGTTGACTTGATTAGTGGAAGATCAAGAGCACTAAAAAGGAGAGATGGTTGTTAAGGCCAGAAAGGATCGGGGTGGTGATAACAAGCTGCTTCCAGGCAGTTGGTTAAGCTTTGTGTGGAGCGGACATCAATGGGGGTGTGACTGCACTGTTGCACCCCCCCCCCCAGATCCACCCCTGTATCAGACTGTTGCGCATCCATCCATCCCTGTGTCCCTGTCCTGTCAGCAGGAGTCAAGCTACAGTCTCCTGAGTGCCAGCCCAGTGCAGTGACTGCTGGACCCATCTCCTAGATTCATAGACTGCCACGGGCTGGAAGGGACCTTCCAGATCATTGGGTCCAGTCCCCAGCTCTAGGCAGGAAGACAACTGTGGTTAGGTGGCCCCAGCGAGGTGACTGTCCAGTCTCCTCTTGAAAACCTGCAGGGCAGGTGACTGCACCACCTCTGGAGGGAGTTTGTTCCACAGTCTGGACACCCTGACTGTGAAGGAGTTTTTCCTGGTATCAAGCCTGAAGTGGCCTTCCAGGAGTTTGTATCCATTGGTCCTGGTCTTCCCCGGGGCTGCCCTAGTGAACAGTTGTTCACCGAGCTCCTGATGCACTCCTCTGATATA